GTTGGATCCTCACACTACATAAAAATAAATAAAATAAAAGTAAGACACTGTGTCTAACTACAATATATATATATATACATACATACATACATCACACTAAACCTATACTGGGCTGAAACAACCTAATGCCCAAGGTAACATGATTGTCATTAGCAAGGCACTAAAAAATCCAAAAACCTTGCACATAAAAACAAGCTCTATAAAGAGTCTAAAAAGAAGAGTTGGGATGAATACTGTTGAAGTTCCCAATAATATTGCTTCTTCCTTTTGAATCTAGTTAGGTTTCATAGGTAGCATTTTGGCTAACACACTTAACCAAGTAGTAATATATATTATTGTTAAATCATTGAATCACAAAGTATAAAACCAAGAAGAAAAAACAAATGAAGCACAATCATGTGCTTTTTCCAATGTTTTTAGTAAGAAAAAAGGTTAATTTCAAAGATGAAAGACAGTTATTACCAAAATAATTAAGGTTTTCTTTATTATCGCTTTAATGACAAAACATTAATCTTAAAAAATTATTCCATCAGTTAAAATTGCCATTTTTATAATGTATATAGTCAAGTTGCTATAGTACCACAAATATAATTTAAGTATATATGAATTTTTAATGGAGAGTCTAGGAAAGATAAGCAAAAACTAGAATAAAATGATAAAATGTGAAGTGAGTTGTGATGAATGGAACTTGAAACAAAGGATATAGGCAGCAGTTACTAATTCTAAGAAGAAACTTTCATAAATCTATCATTTGAACTGGACTTTGAATATGGACTGGTTTTCCAATGTGCAAAACGGAAGTAAAAGAAACATTTGGTAGGACATAATATCAAAGCACATGGTATGTTAACAAATATAGACATTGAGAAAGTTCCCTGTTAATTGTCTAAGTATTGACTATCTAATGGCTGCTAATATCAAAATAGAAAAACTGGCATTAAGTGCCTTCTAGTGAAAGAATATACACCACCTTTTAAGTAATCTTGGCCAAAAATAAAATCTGAATCTAATTAAAAACTACAGATATTTCTACTAATTTATAGAAAATGTGGAGAGGCATATTTGGGGTACAACTAGAACAACCCAAATTGGGAAAGTGTAGTAAAAATGAAGCAGTTTATCCAACAAATAAACTACAAGGGAAAAATATGGGTAGGGAGGGGAAGTAACACATTTCTAGCAACCACAATATATGCAGGTATACCTAACAAAAAGTAATGCAAACACCTTACTCCTAACACAAACTTTATCAGTTAAATTGTGAAGTAAAACCATAGCAATCTAATGAGGTGACAAATATGATTAGTGAGTGTTTGAACACTCACTACTTGCTATTAAGGTATTTGATATAATAATGATACTATGGTTAATTTCTCAACAGTCATTACCTTTCTAGGGAAACATACTGATTTATTATACTAATGAGGGAATGGCAAGGAGTTCATGGCTAAAGGTTTAAATGAAACAAAACTGATGGTAAATTTTACAATAATTGAAATGAGAAAAAAAGTTAATTATTCTCATTTTTGTATAATTTTCTATAATAAAATTATAAAAGTTATTCTCCTAAAAGTCACTAGGTTGGCTTCATCCAAGTGCCTAGCCGGAAGGAATAGCATTATTAGCTAAAAGCCATGTGAAATAAGATTATTCCAAAATTGAAACACGTTTTACCCTTTCAAAATGAAATGAACATGAATCACCAAGGTTCAAGAAAAGACTCCTAAAGAT